TTAACCTCACTATCTGTCTGAATATCAAACATCTTAGGCATAACATGGAACAGGTATTTTTCATCAAGTATTGATATGTTGAACTTTAAGTCCCTATACAATATGATTAAAAAACATTTAAAACTTAGAATATATTTTTAAAAATAGGCATAAAGAATTATATAATTCTTATGTTTACACATAAATCCAAAAATCTAACCATATACAACCTTGAAGCAGAACAGTCCCACAATATTCCTTTTCCTATCTCTTGGCTTCATTCACCACCCCCTTCTTTTTGAACAATCATCTACCCAAGAGACAGCACAGTGCACTGCACTTTAGATTGCATTTATATTTGAGATGGCTCACAGTGCTGAGCTGAATAAGCTAAAGACCCCCCCCCCAAAAGAAAAACCTTACTAGTTCTGTTGTAGATCTCAGCTATTTGGGAAAAACAGAGAAACACACATACATGCATCTTCAATAAAAATAAAGCCTCCTCCCTCACTGTGATCCTCTGCTGTCTGACAGGAGCCCAGTGCTCATTACATCTGGGGACCACAAGTGGTTTCTATCCAGACACCTGCAGCCCTGGATTGGATGAGCTCATGCAGGAGGAGGCTGTTAATGCCAAGAATTAGAGAGCCAGAGCCAAGACTGTCTCCCTGGTTGCATTCAAGTCCCCAAAACAATCTCCCCAGCTTAAGGCCAGGTCATCGCTAACCTATGTGATAGCACTGCTGAGAGAGAACTATATTTCACAGGCAGGGACTGCCCAGGTACAGGCTCAGTGATTCAGGGAAGATGAAATTTGGTGCAATCAGTTTGGGAGACTCAGCCAGGATTTCATTAAAGCTTTACTTCCCAGCATCCTCCTTCTACCTAGAAGACAGACTAATCTGTGATATTTGTCTAGTGGCTTCACACTTTTCGCAGCTCCTTCACATCCATTATCTGTCTATGAAGCCTTATTAACACCTTCATGGAGTAGGGTAGAAGCTATTATTATCCCTGCTTGACCAACAAGAAAACTGAGGTCCGGAAAGGGCACAGGACTCATCCAGGGTCACACAGCTGTTTAGTCAAAGAACTAAGACTTCAAATATGTTTCCTAACTTTGAGCCCTATGATTGGTCCACCTCTGTGTGGTGGTCGGCTCCCCTACAGAATTGTGAAGCACCCTGCTCCTAACACTTCACCCAGCACAAAGGAGATGCTAATTTTGCTACCTGAATGACTGAATGGATAAGCAGGGGCAAGGCAAGAAAAAATACAAGTTTAATTATGGCTCTCTTAAATAAATGATCAAAACAGAACAGGACGGACCTGATGTGTTGTTTCATCATTTTGACCAGGAAAGAAGGAGAGTAAGAAAGCTTTTCCACTTCACAGATGCCATTGCCAAAGCATGAACTTTAGGACAGCTCTCAAATGGAAGCCATGGGGCTTAGTCTCCCCACCAGGCTGCCTCCCACTCATCCTTTACAGAGGAACAGGTGCTGCTTTGGGTCCTCATTCCCCTACCAGGAAAGAATCAGAATCAACCTGATGGAAAGAGAGGATCTCCACCTTTTCCTGCAAGCTGTAGCTTTGTCTAGGTCTCCCACCGTGGCTCTCTGAGGTTCTGCTGTGGAACAGGTGTCTGTGAACCCTGGCTGCCACTCCTTTAGGACTTCAACGCCCTCCTCCCCATGACGCTTCTAGCATAACTCAGACGTCACAGGCTTGAAACTGGTCCCCTGCAATGCTGCCTGGACTCAGACTTACCTCTTTCTCCCAGAAAGCCTTTCAAGCAATCAGTGTCTAATAAATGCTAAATGATTGGACTGTCCCTGTTAAGAACTAGGCAGTGCAATTGGATTGCTGCATCCCAAGGCCTTGAGCTCTCTCCCAACCACAAACAAATTGACCTAGAGTTACCACTAGTAACTAGCCCAGTCAGTAAAATGAGGAAACAGGAGACAGAAACAGGGGGGTCCTTAAATGCTGCTGTGTGAGAGTACCAAGTAGTTTTGCAAGCAGACAGTCCCAACTTTGAGATCTCTTACGTTTCCAGTCTTTCACCCACCACTTTGTAGCTCGTGTGTTGGGGTATTCGCTTTGTTCCTCTGAGCCACCGTTTTGTTCTCTGTACAGTGGAAAGAATGCTGCAAAAAGAAAACCGAAGCAAGACAGGGTGCCCTGCGCTTATCCAGTTCCGCAAGCAGCAGCCGGATTATATGCACTTGGGCCCCCAGCGGGAGGGGCCCTCCAGGGGGCGCCGACTGCCTGTTGACCGGGTTGCGGGCTAAGAGTCTACTCAGGCTCCCTCGTGTTTACCGGCTCCCTCGCTAGTTCACCATCTCAGGCGTGGCTCTGGGGCCCAGCCAGTCGCCTCCTTCTTTAAGATTCTGGTCACAGCAAGGGCTGGATTTGTAAGGCAGGCGTGATCTTTCTCTTCCTACGGACGCGTTGCCGTTACCGTCGGCGCCAGGCTCAGCCAGGGCAGAGCGAGAGGCAGACTGCAAAAGGGTTCCCGGGCCAAGTCTGCTGCCCAGCTTGACCCGAAGAGGGCCGTGACAGTAAGTACCGTGCTCTGAGGTGCCCGTTTGGGGCGCGCCCGGGAAAAGGCCAGAAAGAGGGGGTCTGAGTCTGAGTGGCAGGGTCCTTGCCTGCGCCTCAGAGTGGCCTAGGGGAGGCCCTAGCTGGGCGTCCCTCCTCCTGAGTCAGCACCCGCTGGGCACGTGCACCGGATGCACCGAGTTAAGAAGTCACCTGGAAGCCAGCCCTCTGCATCTCCCATTTGAGCCCCCAAAAGATTTGTTCTGGCCACCAGATAGCCTTCAGGTGCCTTCGAGGTTCCTCTGAAGAGGAAACTGCAAGGCAAGATAGTGAGGCTGAGGTTTGGGGCGCCTGTGATAAAGTACTTGGGGAAGGGGCAGAGAGGGAGGAGGGTGAGAAGGATAAGGAGAATAAGAAGTTGGGGGACTGCCCTTTCAAGTGCTCAGAATTCACCATCCTTATCAGCAGCCCTTGCCCAGTTGCATCCCCACAGGGGAGCCTCCTGGAAGTGGGTTTCAGGCCCTACCCTAGCACTTCCGTGTCCCCAGGCAGCTTGGCTGGTCTGCTCTCCTGGTCCGGGACTTGTGGCTGCACAGGACCCGGCAAGCTGGGGCAGAAGCCGGGTCCCCTGTTCCCGTTGCTAAGAAGCATGACCAACCTACCCAGTAGTGCATTTGCTACAGAAACAACGTTAAGTGGGAATGTGCAGGAGCATGTGTGCCACTTTCTTTTTTTGAATTTGTAAAATTCAGGGTAGACAGAGAGTCTGAGATAACAAAAGCAAGTGTATCCTATATCTGTCCTTTCTCAGAAAACACTCAGATCTCTCTTGACTTCTTCCACCTGAGCGCAGCCATTCACGTTGCCTACGCTCAGATCTACCTGGTAGATAACAAGAATCCTGTACAAGAAGAAAACCCTCACTGACATTCACTTGGTGCTTTCTGTGTGCCAAGCACAGCTCTTTACATGTATTTTTAAAATGTAATCTTCACAACAACCTTGTGAAATAAATACTGATATTCCTCTTTCACAGATGAGGAAATGCGAGGCATATAGATCCTCAGAGCTCAAGTTGCACACCTAGCTAAAGGAAGAGCTAGGATGTGTGCTTATCTTACTTTAGGCCTCATTGTTCACTATTGGAAAAATGATGAAAAGTGCAAAACAGAGCTAGATTTCCCTAGGGGCCACTTACTTATTATTCTAGAGATCCAAAGTCAAGACTAAGACCCAAAGAGTGACAAATCCATTTTTAGATCACCACCAATATATCCTGTGGAGACAGGCAAACTGAGTGAACTATGACAGGCGATCCTATTAATAGGTGCCTGATAATACCCATAATAATAAATTTCTCTTACCAACTACTACTGATGGAGTACTTACTTCCCCAGCACCTTATATATATATTTACTCTTCATGTAGGTGCTTTGAAGTACATACTATCATGAGCCCCGTTGTGCAGATGAGGGACCTGAGCATAAGAGGCTAAGTAACTTGGCACAGAGTTGGGATTCCAGCCCAGAACCACTAAGTCCAAAGCATAAAGCAGATTTATGCGTGAGACAGAGCTTTGGCCATGCCCCCCAGGCACTTGCTGGGAGCTCTGCAGTGTTCTCTCCATTCATTCCCTAGCTCCCTTTCACCCAGCACTGAGGAAGGAATTGTCTTGGCTGGTGAAGGAATCCCTGAAAAGATGGAGTGTTCTAGATATATTTAGGTTTTGCTTTATTGAGTGTGATGCACATAACATCAATAAGTTTTTCTGCTTTATAAGTTTTATTAATTAAACGAGTATCTGGTCTACTGACTTGGAGTTGTTAATCCAGTATTATAGCTCTATTTGAGTACCTCTGTTAGAAGTTATTTTCTGAAAAGTTTTTAGAACCTTATTTACAGTACTGGGCAGAGCCATCTTTATACTCCCTAGGGAGGGAGAAGGCTTGTCTCTCAGCCAGGATTTCGGTAACAGAAGCCCAGCCCATACCTGAGTAGTATGATGGTTTTGTCTTCCCATCCTGCAGCATGATTTCTGAGCTGAACCCTGAATGCAGCAGAGTCACTTAGGGCTGTCCCAGTGTCACAGCCCTGCAGTTGGATTATCTGTAACATCCTGCCATTGCCCTGGCCATCCATAGAGTTGGCTTCTCAGGACCCTCTTCAGTGTAGGCCAACAGGTGTGTGAGCTTCATGGCTTTGGCCACCATTGTTAGAACTGAAACTCAGTGTATTTACTGGGGATCCTTCTTTCCTGCACCTCATGCTTTGTGGTGGCATGAGACGTGAGGCTGGTGATCCCAGCACTGGGCTGTGTCCTTGTTGTCTCTGTGACCTTTTCAGAGTTCACTGTATCATGTCACCAGGCCATAAGAAAGAAGTCAGTGGGGAACGGTTAACAGGAGATGGTGCTCAAGTTAAATTTTGCCTGAATTTACTCTATAACTACTTTTTAATTGTAGTGATTTAAATACCTGGACATTTCTTTCCCTCTTTATTGAGTCTCCATAACTATTCATTGTCATATTTGACATTCCTTTCCTAGAACATCCTTCTCACCTTCTTCACTTAGCTGGGGTGGAAGAAAGCTGCTGAGAATCAGTATGGTGGGTGCGCATCCTCCCGTGTGCTTCCCTGCCTGTGCTGTTCCTCATGGAGTCAGATGACCTATGGCTGTATTTTATTTTTCACTTTACCTATTTCTATTTATTTCTCTGCTAGGAGAACTGAGTTGTATGCCTGGTGTTTATTTTAATTTATTTTTTAAATTCTGAATACAAGTCTTGCTAAGTTGCCTTGGCTAGCTAGGAACCTGCCACCATCCAGCTTTAGCCTCCCACGTAGTTGGGAGTATACGTCTGTGCCATCGTACTTGGTAATGTATGGTTTTATATTGTTCATTTACATACTTGCCCCTACTACAACCTTCCTGAGGGAAGACACAGGGCCAGTGGTAGATGTTAAGTCGATTTTTGTTGCATATATGAATGAAGGAATGAATGAATGCTATGTAAAAGCTGGTGGGGGAAGCCTCTCACTTATAGCTAGGAATTCTGCCATCATCCCCCTTATAAAAAGGGAAGTAGGAGCAGAACTTGCCTTATTCTACAGCAAAGAACCCCAGGTCTGTGGATTTTTTTTCACCAAAAAAAAAAAAAAAAATACACTGTAATGCCAAACATGAATGCTTTGGGAAGGGCTTTCCTGATTACTAGAATATTCCTGAGTAACTTGGGATTTGAACAAAAAAAAATCATTTTTCCACATCTTTTTTATTTTTCCATTCACTCTACCATGCCCAGGCCTGCTTTCCTATCTCTGTAAGTCAAATCTGGAGTCTGTCACCAAACGTATGGTTGAGTAGAAAGCCTGTGGGTTCACAAGATCCCCTAGGATTGCCCCTAGAGTAAGATATAATCTCCTAGCCCTCTCCAACTCCTACCTGTCCTTACTGCATCCAGAGATAAGCTCACAGGTCCTTTGAGGTTTGTAATTCACTGACACCTCCTCTAAGAAACAGATGGGGTTCCCAGCTAACATCATGGGGGAGGTAAGGGTATTCAGGTGCTGACTCATGCCCTCTGAGCTAGTAACTCAGCAGGTGCTCTTGCCCTTGGCCTTCCTTCTTACCTGGAGAGTTCATCAACCTCATTTGCCCTTTGCTGACCCCAGGTAAGGCATTAGAATTTCTCTCTCTTAACAGGGAAGTAAAATTAGGCTGAATAAATGGTATCTGGTTCCCCTGAGGCTGCATTTAGCTTCTCTGGACACCTCCAAATGGGGTGACATAAATTTACCAGGCCTCTCTATTCTGCTTTATCTAGAGGCTTCTTGGACTACTCTCTGCTGTGCCCCTGGGCTATACTTACTGAACAGGTTGGAGTTGTTGCAGTGGAAGAGTAGGACCGCTCCCTCACAGGAGGTCAGACTGGCACCTGCTGGGCATAGGGCCCAGGCCTCTGATACTACCTGCATCATTTCAGGCATCTAGGCAAAGCAACAGGACAAAGTGTGCTTTTTCCTAACTAGCTTTGCCTATCCTGGCCTGTGTTTCTCCTCCCAAGGTCTCCAAAAAGGTGCTGAGACCTTTGTGCCCCAACAAAGCCAGATGGGAGATGGATAAAAGGAAAAGCCTGCTCACTGTTTACCCTGGTGACCTACAGCTTCTTGCTTCTCAGCTAGCCTCTGGCCCTCTCTGGCTATCATCATGATGCTTCCTGCCACTAACTCCCTGTTCCCTTCAGTCTCTAGGTCTATACTCTCTTCTGCCCTTCTCTATTCACCCAAGCATGACCCTTCCTGCAGAACTGAGCCATAGTCCTCATCTAGAAAGCCTCCCTGTGCAGTTTCTGGAAATTGGCAAGGGGCAAATACATAATTTCCAAGGTCCTTTCAACTCTGAGATTATCCAGGAGTTGACCAGTCAGAGGCCAGGGCCATCCAACGTCGGTGGCCAGATCATCACTATCTACCAGTGTCACTGAGAAGATGGAGATGACCCAGCCCCCTAGCTACATAGGCCCTCTATTGGCTCCAGGAGGCTTGGCCCTGAATCCTGTGTAACCAACATCTGCCCAGCAGCCACCAGAGGGGTGCTATCTGAGCCCTAGGCCTTTGGCTACTGGAGGCAGTTACTTGGGCAGTTCCCAGAAGGTCCTGCCCACACCTGCTCCCGCTGTCTACTCTCCAAGTTTTGTTTACAGTTCAGTCCTTGGCAGACTAAAGGCAGGAATCCAAGAGAAGAGAGAGCTGGGTGGACAGGGACCCTTTTCTGGCTTGGCATTCTGTGTCAGAGCTCTGCAGCCCAGCTTGGCTTTGAAGAGATGTGTGCACTGAGGGGAAGAATTCAGGCCTGTGGATCCTTTCTCTGCCAACCACACTTTTCCCATATGACCATGCCTTCCTACCTTCTGGAACTCTCTCTGCTTCCCAATTTGTTCCTCTAAATCTCCTCTTTCACAACAAAAACCCAGCCTCTGGTGCCTGGAAAATTGGCCTCAGTTAAGGTGCCTTGCCCTCT